TTCGTTACCGTCTTGTTAGTTATCGTCTTCGTCGCCGATGCCCCGTGGTAGCCGTCGTCTTTCTCGTCGTTGTTTCCGTCGCCGTAGCGGTGGTAATAGTCGTGCAGTCGTCGAAATCGTCATCATCGTGAACGCCATCACGGCGGTAGTGCAACAGTATCAGTAGCGGTAGTACTATAGTAATTACTAGTAATCGTCGTAGTATTAGTGCTATTATTAGTAGTAGTAATTGTAGTAGTAGTAGTAGTAGCAGCAGCAGCAGCAGCAATAGCAATAGCAGTGATAGTGGTAGTGGTAGCAGGAGGTAGTAGTGGTGGTAGTGGTAGTAGTGGTAGCAGTGGTAGTAGTGGTAGTAGTGGTAGTAGTGGTGGTGGTGGTGGTGGTGGTGGTGGTGGTGATGGTGGTGGTGGTGGTGGTGGTGGTGGTAGCAGTTGCAGTTGCGGTTGCAGCAGCAGCAGCAGCAGCAGGAGTAGTAGCAGGAGTAGTAGCAGGAGTAGTAGCAGGAGTAGTAGCAGGAGTAGTAGTAGTAGTAGTTGTAGTAGTAGCAGCTGCTACACTTGTAGTCTTCGTCCACGACGTCGTTGTAGTCGTCGCAAACGTGGAAGCAGTGGTAGTAGCAGTAGCGGTAGCATTATAAACAGCAGTAGCAGTAGCAGCAGTAGGAGGAGGAGGAAGAGGAGGAGGTAGGAGTAGCAGCAGGAGCAGGAGCAGGCGTAGGAATAAGAGTAAGAGTAATTAGTGCTTGCATTCAGTTGTCCATCTGCGAGTACGATTATGCATAAGATCGAAAGTCCCAAGATCCCGCGGGGCCGCCGAACGTCGAAGAGAGCTATACACACTACATGTGGGGCCATCTAAGCGACCCTTTAATCAGGAGTCCCTAAACTCTGAACCTAAAAAGCCTTAACCCCAGTCTTATGTTCTCAACTCCCAGCAGTCCGACTTCTTCTGCCGCACGGTGAAGGAGTGGAAGACCTTGTGTAGCTCTTCGGAGCGCCTCGACTTTAGTCTTGGGCATCGGGGGGGTCTGGCCTAGTGGCGTTTTGGGCATTGCTGCAGGGTCGAAATGCCTGTTCCAGCGTCTGGAAGCGGTCTGTGGGTCGCCGAAGGAGGGGATGCGTTTTGAGCAGTTCGGCCCAAGGCGAATGCCTCAACAGCTCCAAAGCCCAACAATTCAGAATGCCCAGCCCTTCCCCACTTCCTGCACAAAAGAGGAAACCAAACCCTCAACTCTCAGGGCACTGCTCGACCCCATGAGGCACCAATGTCTCGATTCCTGGGCTTCACCAAGACGCATGACGAAGTGAAACCAACAGATGTTGTATGTGGGGCGACTACGGCTAGTAGTGACTACGAGTTGTTGTGACACAGCAGACCCCGCACTTTACAAATGCAGACTCAGTTTGAAGCCTACAGCCGCACTGTATAACTTTGAATAGAAGGTGTACAGAGGACCCCTAAACTGTGCAGCTTGTCCCAGGTTCTTTCAAAGGTGCCTTATTGAGATGTGTCTGAATAAGGATCCCTGGGGTCCTTCCAGCAGCTTGCCCCCACCACAGCCTCCACAGCCTCCTGAAGAGACTTTCCAAAAGAATGAACCCCAAGGCTGAAGTCCAAGCCTTGAACTCACAACTGCAATGTGGCGGTAAAGGGATTTGGCGTCTTGGGGTGCCGGACACAGAGTTTCTTTACTTTAACGGCTATGGCCTCCAGCCCACTGATAATCCAAGGCTCCATCGTCCCCCACTTGAGGCTTGAACTTGCAATATCGCTTGCCTCCAAGCCGAGGCGTTGAACCCTAGAGCCCTACCCAAACCCACAGCCCGTAACACCGCGCACAAGCACATCGAGTTCGATAAAACCTGAAAGCATTCGGCCCTGAAGAGTTTCAGTTCCAAGGCTTCGCCTCAGCGAAACCAACCTCCGAAACTCCCACGTCCGTGACTCACCAAATTAGGGCTACCGGAGAGTGCACCACTCTCATAATGACAAGTTTCAAAAGGATCCTTAAGTTGGGAAAACTACCCGCATGAACCTCAACAGGAGGCCTACAAGTACAGTCCGGCGCTGTTTGGGGAGGGTAGGTGATGGTCTAGCGATTGTAGGGACCTGATTGCGATCCATGAGGGACCTTCCAACGCTTTTTCGAATGCTGATGGGGTCGAGGGCATTCTTGGGACGATTGAACGGTCTGGCTTTGCCTCAATGCTGTTTTGGGCAGATCAGCAGCGTTGCGGGCAAGGATTTTGTAAGGTCGTTGGGGTAAGCCGGGTTGCAATTGATTGCAACAGGGTTGCGAGCCCACTCCGGGCACAAGACCCAAACGCTGAACTGTTCATGCTAAACCCTCCTAAAGCTTGGGCCAGGTTTTCGCTGGGTCATTGTGCACCTCGTGCTTCACACCTACAAGGGCTCCAGGACCCCAGACCCCCTGAAGGACTGAATCTACCGGATCCGAAGCCCTGAGTGCCAACTTCCAAGAAAAGCCTAAACCATGAAGTTCTGAAGCCTGGAACCCTCGACTGCCTTTGTGTTGGCCCTTTCTGCAACCCAAGGAACACCTTAACAAAAGCCTTGCCTCCGAAATCCAAATTGGCTTAGCTCCCCACAGAAACTTTCGAATGGAGGAAGCGTCGGGTCCAGCCTGGCTCCGCGGTTCGTTCTCTTGCTTTGGGAATGAGGGGTGGGCTTGGGGCTTGAAAACGGTCTTGCGTTGAGCGTGCTGGTTCTTGAATGCCGTCGGGTTTCGGCGCTCCGGAGTCGGAAGGCTTCAGGGCTTTACTCGCCCGTACTGCCTAAAAACTACAGGCAACCGATCCAAACGGCTTCAACCTCAATTTGCCAAAGCACTTCGGGCTAAGGCGCACAATGGCTCCAGTCTGACAGCCCTCAGCTCAATGGCACGAGGCGCAGCTCTGAGCGTTTTTTTGATATATGCCGGTTTATGTGTCGTGTTGTGTTCTTTCTGGTGGGGTCTTTTCATTGGAGTTCCGCTTTCGTAGGAGTCCTAACAAAAACATAAGACATAAGGCTTTTGCCAGAACGGAGCTTGACAAGCGTCTGCGGTGCACCCCAAACGCTGAACCCCATAACCTCAAACCGCTGGCAAACAGGGCGTGCCGGCGCTGACATGAGTGTCCACGTTTCGCCTGCGTGGTTCAGCCTTCGAAATTTTGAGGGTAGGCTTCTGAGCATTTGCGATGTTGGTGTTTTTCTCGAGTTTCAGGGTTCAGGCATTGGAGCGTATGCTTCCGGATCTGTGAACTTCGTTAGTTGAAGATTTTTTGAGGCTGGATTTTGGGTAGGATGCGAATTGGCCTTGAATAGTTCTGAGCTTCATTGGGCATTCGTGAATATCCATGACATCAAGGATTACAAAGATCCGAAGGCTGAATCTCGACAGCCATATACACCTCAAAGCCCATCAGAGCAGGTCATCTACTCCCGGCAGTTTCCTAAAAAAGAACGTAACGAGCGAGCCCCGACAAACATGTAAGCCCGAGGCAAGAAGCAATTTCTGAACTATATGAGAGCCCGCAAGCCCTGACTGTGCAACTCTGAAGCTGTCACTGCGTCCCAAGACTTCTCTAAACCCCAAGTCGGGGCTGTTCTAGAATGAGTTTCTTCCCGGAGAGGGCCTTAAGTTAGAAGCCTCTAGGTGAATCCGAAATCTGCAAGACCCCAGCCCGGAGGCCCACTGCGACTCAGAAGTCCCTGAGGCGCAAGCCATAACCCCTCCTGAGCAACTGAAGCGTTAGTGAAGGTCACGTCTATGCTGAGACAATGGCACGGGCGTGCCCGTGAGCAGGATGCAACCTCAGCAGGAGGCTTAGGGCTCAGGGTTTGTGGGTGTGGAGTGGTCTGTATCTATGCTGTCAGTTGCAAGCCCAATCGGCTTCCATGTTGACAGCCGACGTCTCTTGTAGGTCCTTGTAGGCTTTTAGCCTTGGGCCTTATGCGAACCTCAGAGACCACCGTCCAGAGTCATGTGACTGGAAATAACCTTGAAGGAGTCCGCAAAACATTAAAACATGCAATCTCTCTCTGGCAAAGGCAAAGGCTTACCCAAACTGCATTGTCCGAGGTCCCCTCGGCGGGCATCACGACAGGCGGGCAAGAGCACCTCCGCCAAGACTTTCTGCAGATTCCCCTTTAAAGGTTCAGTCTTAGCAGATAGACTGATGCCGAGACAACTATGGCATTGGGAAAGTTTCGATGCTGGGACATTCAATTGTTTTCAAGATTCTGGAATTGCCGTACAAACCAGCACCAGCCAACAACGTGAACTCGCCTCGGGTTGACTGTGTAGTGCACCAGACGAATCACGCAGATGTCAGGCAGGCCTGAAGTCGAAACCTCTGTTCTTCCAAGTTTGGGTGCGTCAGCGCAGTCTTACATATTGAACAAGTTGGGGTTGATTACCACCCCCCGGCCCACACAGAGCGCCTGTTGTTTGTCAACATGATACACAGTACAAAGCCCCCAAAAGCTCAACCGCCCTTTCCGGCATAGTCAAGGGCCTCCGTTCGTTGAGAGTCGGAAGTCTTGATGTAGTGCGCCTCGTCCAGGATAACGACCTGTTGGCTTCTGAAACCCTTAACCCTACTTGGGCTAAGGTCTGCCATGCCAGTGGGAAGCCAGTCATCAAGGCCTCAAAAAACAACTAAACTGAAGAGGTGAAGATGCAAGTTCGCGGGGTTGCTTGGGGTTGGGGTGCACACCCTGCATTCCAAAAGCCGCCTCCACTCCACATGCTGGATCCGAGACTCTAGGACATGATGTCAACGATTGCCAGGCCTTGTACGGGCTTCCGTCCGGCCGTCGAGTCAGTGCGGGCTGCACCCTGGCCTGATCCTGGGCAGCGCGCAATGTCGCAGTCGCAGCCGCAACCGCAGCCGCAGTGGTATTAGTAGTCCGTAGTTCGTGGTTAGCCGTTAGGTCCTACTCCTACTCCAACTCACACTCCCAGTCCTACTTCCTCTACTACCACTACTACCTACCACTACTACCACTACTACCACTACTACCACTACTACCACTACTACCACTACTACCACTACTAACCACCACCACCACCACCACCACCACGACCACGACCACGACCACTACCACGACTACGACTACCATTACCACTACCACTACCACTACCACCACCACCACCACCACCACCACCACCACTACCACTACCACTACCACTACTACTACTACTACTACTACTACTACTACTACTACTACTACTACTACTACTACTACTACTACTACTACTACTAGTTCTTCTACTACTACTCCTGCTACCCCTGCTACCCCTACTACTACTACTACTACTACTACTACTACTACTACTACTACTACTACTACTACTACTACTACTACTACTACTACTACTACTACTACTACTACTACTGCTACTGCTACTACTACTGCTACTGCTACTGCTACTGCTACTGCTACTGCTACTGCTACTGCTACTGCTACTGCTACTGCTACTGCTACTGCTACTGCTACTGCTCCTGCTCCTGCTCCTGCTCCTGCTCCTGCTGCTGCTGCTGCTGCTGCTGCTGCTACTGCTACTGCTACTGCTGCTGCTACTGCTATTACTATTTGCTACTGCTACTGCTACTGCTACTGCTACTGCTACTGCTACTGCTCCTGCTGCTGCTGCTGCTGCTGCTGCTGCTGCTACTGCTACTGCTACTGCTACTGCTACTGCTATTACTATTTGCTACTGCTACTGCTACTGCTGCTACTACTGCTACTACTGCTACTACTGCTACTACTGCTACTACTACCGCTGCTGCTACTACTTCTACAACTACAACTACGAATGCTGCTACTACTACCACTACCGCTACAACTAACTACTGTTACCAACACAACAACACCACCAACAAAACGATTGCGAAAACAAAGGCCGAAAGCGTGAGGCCTTTGGGGTCGGAGGGCCGCGCGCGCTCGAGACGCCCATCGTTTGCGATGCAAGGTTCAAGTCGGGGGGGGGGGGGGCATAAGGGACTGGGTTCAGGAAGCCTTGCAGGATGGGGGTTGCGGCACAAGGCAGATCTACTGAGTCGAGCACGTAAGACACCACGAAGATCAGCTTGTTCACCCAAGCCTCCTGGATGTCTTTCCGCCTCCTCGGATCGACATTGTTTCATAAGGGCCTTGTCCGCCGCCGTGCAATCGTGTCCCATCCACCCAAACCCATCGAACCGAAACCCTGGATAGGTCAGTTGCAAGTCTATTTCGAAGGACCGAAGGAGTACTGGGAATCTTTGCACTTGGCGCAAGCTCCTCCAGGGTTAATCCAACGTTTTTCAATTTCTCCAGAAGAAGCACATGATGGAGTCGTGAAAGTAGCTGCTCTCTATTGACACCGGAACATCGATAAAGACTGCATGCTTTAGCCTAAGTACCTTTTTCAGCTGTCCTCCTCTTCTTTTCCACTAACCAAATCCTAAACCGTAAATCCCCAAAGTTCTGAGCCACACGATTTGCAAACTCCGAAATCCCTCAAAAACCTAAGACTCCATGATCTCTTCCGCCCCACCCAACACGCAAATACACACAAGCGGGCACGGGCCACTGCTTGACATTAGGAGCGGCTTGATCAGAAATTCAAGGGTCCTTATGAGTTATCAGTCCTGCAAATGAGGATCGTGCTATTCAGGGGCTCAAGTCTAAAGAATCCATCACGGAAAAGACAAAGTCAGGACAAGGGTCGTTGAAGCGACGCTCGAGCTGAGCTCCTCATTGTGGGCTCGGGATTCAGCTCAAGGCTTTTTGGGGAGAGTTATTCTTAGGGCCTGTGACAAGCCTTCAGAGTTTTGGATGTTGCGTTTATAGTTCAAGCTACCGGCCAGTTTCATCAACTATATTCTCAGGGCCATCAGTTACAGCTATGGCCACGGCTCGCAGTTTGCCTAGTTTCAGGCTCCCCTGCCGAGCGGCAAAATCCCACGACAGCATTGCTAGATATCCAAGGCAGCTTCTAAAACCAGGAACAAAAGTGAGCCCACGCTACTGGTAATAACTTGATGCCATGAAGGCTTGTTGACATCACTCTTGGGGTCTAGATGATTGAAACAGACTTGGTCCTGACTGACCCGGAGCTTTAAGTGCCAACAAGCAGGGGGCACAAGGGCGTGGGAATTGGGAAGCTCATGAGCCCTCGCGCAGCTTGGGGCTCCTGTATGCAAGAGTCTTGGCTTTGGTCGGTTCGGTTACAAACCTGGCCTTCGCTTGTGCCCGGATGTAACAGACGGGATTGCACTCATCACATCCCCAATCTGACCCGCAACCTACTGGGGTCCAGACCGAAGCCAGATCCCAAGATCCCAAAACCACGAGTGTAGCCCTTCAGGCGGTCCATAACGTCAGAGACCATGTGGGGCAGCCACTTTTGCACCTCTGTTCAGGGCACGAGACTTCTCGGACACCTAGTGCATGAGCCTGGCTAGGACCGAATCCTAGGATTGCAGCCCAACAGTAAGAAGCCGCCAGAGTTGCAAGGAACAGCTTCACATACCTCTGCCAACCTCGGGAAACCTTGCTGCACACCAAAAGACAAACACGTGGCAAACAAATTCGCTGCCAACTCAAGAAAACTCACCACACCCTTGACTGCATCAATCGACGCTGGCAATGTTCACTCCATCATACATCATTCCAGCTTTAGCTGAAATCCATGGGCACTGACTGCGCGTGACGATGACTACCGCTACCGCTACAGCATCACCACCACTGCTTCATCATCATCCTGATCGCGACACGAACAAAGAATTCTACAAGAATCGGACGGAGTTCGGTGCCCGGAAGCTAACACTCCGCGCACACTGAATCGTTCGACTTGTCGCAACCAAACATGGACAACTAGTGTCTTATGTAATTCCCAGCGAGAGTTCTCGATTTTGTGGGAGCGGACGTAAAGCTCGGGGAGGGTGACCAACCACGCCCCCCCGCCCGTCAAATTCCGGTCAAATGCACCACCACCACCTCCACCACCCCAAATGCTGCCACGCCATCCAACAGATGTCACCCCACCAACACCCCTCACGGCCCCCAACAAATGCCCCCCACCACCACCCCCACAACATGTAGCCAGTTCTTTGTATAATAACAATATTGATACTAGCAATATATTTTCATTAATATTCTGATAACATAAAAATATCAAAACAAATGCCTTTACAACCGCAACCACCACCACCACAACCGCCACTGCTACTGCCACCGCCTCCGCCACCGCCGCCGCCACCGCCGCCACCACCACGGCCGCCCCACCGCCACCGCCACCGCCACCGCCGCCACCACCACCACCACCACCACCACCACCACCACCACCGCCACCATCACCACCATCACCACCACCACCACCACCACCACCACCACCACCACCACCACCACCACCACATGTGTTTGTATAATACAACTATTTCTATAAACATTAGTACTCGTACTAGTAATTGTAATAGTCATTATACTGTTATTAATAGGAATACCATATTATACCCATATTGATGATAATCATAACTATATACTAGTAGTAGGAATAAAATGAAAATAATCATCGTCATGATAATACGACGAAAATTCTCTTCCAAGGGGGCGTCCCCCTACCTTGAAGCTGGGAGCTGAGTGTTCTGGTATGTCACCCACCCCGCCGACCCCCCCCCCCCCCCACCCCGCGCGCTCACCGCAGAAGAGGGGGGGGGGGGGCACAGGCTGAGGTAGCAAAGACCGCTTCCCAACGGCCTCCTTGACCCAATTCTTGACCACACCTGCTGGCGCGACGACCAGAAGGGGCCACTCCTCTTGCGAGCTGGAGATTCGACTGGAGATTCGGTGATTGACAGTGGGCCGGTTCGTAATTACAAATATTTGGGGACTGCAACGAAAATACAAACCGCAGAGCCATCATTGACATTTGACTGGCGATGTTCACACTTAGCCTGCAGAGACAGTCAATTTACGCGCGAATAGTTAGCAAGCAAAACACCTATGAATACAAATAGCAAAGCTGTGGTATTGATTTTCCGATGACACCCTCGAAACCGTCACTTTGCTGTGCATACTTGGTGGTCTCCTCATTTAAACCTGACGGTGTTGCACCGCACACTGTATGCGGTTGAGAGTGGTTCCCGCCTGCTCCTCAGGCATGATGTGCTCAACTCTGCTGAATCACCAAAGCGAGCTGAATGGATGCCGCTGCCCCTTTTCTTCGACCCCTACACCTCTAAACCCTGACGGCCGAAACCATTAAGAACCCAACCGTAGCTCACGCAGCCTCAACGCCCCAAACCGGTAACCGGGGTGGTCGGTAGTACTACTCTGTGGTCCTGATATACTCTACATCCCTTCCCGTTTCATCGCTTTGAAGATTTCTCTCCTCGGAGTAGATCTGCGCAACCACTAAGGAAGTGAGCGTCTTCCCGAGGCCCATCCTGAAAGAGGCAGCTTCTGGGGCTTTAGGGCTCTAGGGCTTAGCAATTCATGTAGCAAGAAGATAAGGAGCATCTTCAAAACTCCATAAGATGATCATCATCCGAGAATAGATCGACTTTACTCTACGCTTCCGGAACCTACTTGTGCCTGCTTCGTGGACTGCATAGTCTGCGCAAGCCATGCTGCAAATACTTCGAACCTGCCGCCTCCACTTAATCCTCAACTGGCTGAGACCGGTCCGGGCGGCCGCGCTCATCGGCAATCAGACAGCGGCCCCTGCAGTCACTTCGGGTTGTGAGATCAGGGTTCAGGGTTTTCAGGGTTTTAGGATAGGGCATCTAACACTTCGGGGTTTTTGGTGTCTTTGATTCAGGGTTTGCCGTCTAGTGTGGCTCCAGCAGGCCAGTGCTGACCCATGTTCTGCGCATTGATCTTGCAATCTTCCTCGGCTGCTACTGGCTTCATCAACAAATCTTCCCGATCTAACACCTACCTGCCCTTAGTACGTGTGCACATAAAGACTGCACAGCATCAGCAATAACGTCGTCTGCGCACAACCGCTAGATTCATTGGAACGAGCAAGTCAAGACCACCCCTGCCAAGTGCGACGCATTCGGGCGACTTTTGCCTCTGCCAATTTTCGCATTACGATCTTGTCACAATCCTCAAGCTTTTGTTCTCATGGATCCTGACAGGTCCAGTAAGCAGCCCTCATAAATGATGATGACATGTTCCCCCCTGTGCTTCTGAATCCCTGCAACCTTTCCCGGTGCAAAACAGAGCTATAAATCCTCTTCTATGTGTATATGCGGGTACATCTACTTGCATACGTCCGTGAATCCCAGAATTTTCGACGATTACCACGATCAACATCGACACGATTTTCAGGAGGCCGTGCCCTTGGTTCGCCTCCGAAGAAGGCACTCTTTCACGCTGTGCACCTGCTGCGTCCTGGCACTTTTCAGGTGGGTTCTGGCTTCGCGCTTGGAGATCCGAAGAGTTGGTGCTTGTGGATTTCACGGGCTGGGATGATGGCCACATTTATGTGCAGATCGTAGAGGCACTTTTCTGAAACCTCCGTTTACGGAGTGTGAGTAGTGGGAGCAAGGATGGGGCGAAAACAATAGGGGTTTGCTGTGTTATGTAAAGAAATACCATTACCATTAAATTACTCTTTATGCAGAGCCGCGGAGCCACGCGGGTGGCGAGCCACCCGACAAACACCCTCAAAGCGCTTGCCGCATCCAACGCCCTAAATCCACAAAACCCGAAACCCTGAAACCTTTTCCCTGAAAGCCCGAGAACATTCGCTTCGAGACGCCTCAAGGTTTCTTTCATCTCTGGGAAAGTGCCGAAGTAGTGCTGCAGCCTGCTGGACTGTCTTCCCACTTTCTTGATCAAGTATTTTTGTGGACTTGTGCCGTCTGTCTTGGGTCCTGCGGCCTGTTGATAGGTTGACCACTCAGGAACTCTTACGGTTCGTGACTTTCCAAGGATTGAGGATCGTCGCCTCTCTTTATTAGTGTCTTTTCAATACTTCAGGTCCTAAGGACCGTTCCGAGCGTTGGTACTGCTTTGAACGTTTATCAATTTTTAAGTCTGTAGTTCAGGGTTCAGGGACCTGGGTGGCCGTCAAAAAGGATCTTTGCAATTGATATCATGTCCGAGCTTCTGGTCGCAGCAGTGGGAAGTTAGTGGTTCAGGAACAAACCCACGTGTTCCAATCTCATCTCGCCTGCACCCGACAAGCCACCAACCCCTGGAAAGCAAGCGGACCGCGCTTCACTTCGGCATCCGCGTTGAGTGCCTTGACGGTCTTGCCTGCACATGGCTGAACAATTCTACACATCTGTAGGTGGGCGAGTGACAGGGCAGGAGGCCGGGTAGGGAGGAAGGGAGGGCCTGGGAGTAAACAAGTAAGCATGTATAGATGCATGGATGGATGGATGGATGGATGGATGGATGGATGGATGGATGACGGATTACTACATCCTTCTGCACTGTGTTCATCTGAAGATGGCAACAGACGGTGGCATCAGTGAGTTAGCACGCAGCGCTTGATGCTGATCCCACATTAAGCTGTGCAAATGCTGAACCATCAATCCCAAACCTTTCGCCCGAACGAATACCGTACAATGCCCTGCAAGGCTGGAGAAACCTCGTCTGTATAGACGCGACTGCGCCAGGGAAGACACGCTGGAGTTAACTTACCAATCCGTGGGAATACGGCGGGTGAGCCCATCGCAGGGGGCTTGACCTGGGAAGGGGCTGTTACGATACCTCAAGCTACAGCAAGTTTTATGGCGAAAAGTTGGTGCTCTTCCTCGAGGCCCCTGTGCCGGCACCGAGCCACCTGGTCGTTCTTCCTCCAGCATCTTGGAGAACTTCAACTGGGACTGTCTTGGGGTCGGGGTTCAGGACCGGCTGTGCGGACAGGAGCTATATAGCTATATAGCAGAAGAGTCTAGAAGTTCAGACCCGACATTAAGACTTGTCGAATGCAGCGGTTGGGAATGATTCGGAATGCCTGTAATGGCAGTCCACAAGATTCGAGAATTTGAGGCTGTTATGCAGGTTTCGAGGTTGGAGTTTCGTTTGATTTTCCGGCTTCTCCGAGATAGAATTGGATGTGCTGGCTGTTATTACGCAACATCACCCACCGTCGCTGATTGCAAGCAGCAAGACTTGCCGTGTTGCAACACCGCTTTGAGGTCCCGAACCAGTAACCACTTAATCCCACATTCTTCCTCATCCCGGAGGCTACAAAACATCTTCCAGAGCTGCTTGGCATTTCCTCGAGGGTCCGGCGCGCCCATCTATCCATGTCATCACGTCCTTCCAAGAATGCTTGGTGACAGCGTCTAAAGCTCTAGGCTCATGGCTTCACGGGCTTTCATGTCAATGTGGTCTCCGAGAGTTCGCAGCTTGGTGCAAAGCCCGAGCCCAAAGCCTGCACCTTGCACCCAGAAGCTCGCCCGCGGCTGCAGGGTGACGATTACGGCTTAAATGCCGAACGCTAGACATCGCCCAACGCTTGCAGTACATCATAGAGTCCATCATGCATGTAAGGCATTGGTTGTAGGTAGGAGTATGCAGCAACAAGCCGATTACAAGATTATTCAAAAATAAACTCCGAGATACTGTCCTCCGGCTTGCTGTCGGGTGGCTCCTCGGACCGAAGGTTCAGGGTGCTTTGGATTTAGCGAATTTAGGACTTTGAGGCTTTGCGGTTTTAAGTTTCAGGCTTGTGCGGTTCGCCAGGGTTTTCGGTCTCAGGGCTGGAACCAGAGGCCCCAGAGGTACAGCTGGGGGCGGAGACTCGGAGACATCGCCCGCGGGAAATGCAGCTCACGTACAATCCTGCTTGAAAGGTCTGGCATATTGGAGTTCAGGGTATGCTCCAAAGTCGAGCTTTTCGTGCAGTCCCCTTGCAAGTTGTTCGCATTCTAGCGATTCGCTACAACATGTTGAGGCTCCTAGACTCTCAGCCTGGACCTCATAGAGCTTTCGAGGCTTGGTCGACTTCAAGGAGTTCTTTCCTCACATATCATCTGCCGGATGTCAGAATTAAGTCGCAGACGAACCGTCAGACCGTTCCTTGAAGAGAGCCGACCACGATTAATCAACGAATCAACGAAGTCCCCCCACTCTCGCTGCACCTCCTTCTGGCGCTCCACATGTGTCGCGGCAACAGGTCGGCCGGGGAGTTCCTCGACGCGAGGGCTTGGGCTCTGAGTACCCCGTGTGCACAGATCCTACTCAGTTCTATATTGGAGTTCCTCATAGCCGGGTCCTCGGCGTCGCTGCCATCTTCGGCTGCCTCCGGGCAGTTAGTAGAAGGCGCAGGGACTTTGGGCCACAGGGTAGAACAGGAAACAGGGCCCATTCCCTCGGGCATTTGCAGCACAACAGCAACCCCTAAACCCAGGCCGAATAATGGCGGCCTCCACTAAGTCTCATTAAGTCCGGCCCAAACCCCGTAAAACCCTACAACAACAGCAGCTCCCCAAACCCCGACCCTGAACCCCTCCACCCTAAACCTAAAATCCTACCTCAGCGCTCCTAAATCCTAAAGCCCTTGTTGTGGAATCTGAGGTTCCTGTGACCCCCTTGCTGAAGGTTCTTGTTCTTAATGTCCCGTTTTCAAATCCCTCCTTTACCTGGGCAGCTTGCTGCGCCCTACGCGGAGCTCTCCGCTGAGGCGCGAGGGAACGGCTTGGCCCGGCATCCTGAAAGAAAACGGGCTTCAAGGTACTCAGAACTATAACACCTTACAGCGTTAGGGTACTTGTAGTGCCTTATAACTTATGGCTTTAAGGTATTTAGAATTATGACACCTTATAGCTTTGAGGAGCTCAAGGACAAACTTGCTCGCTTGTCAGCAAGCTGCGATTGGTGTTATTGTTGCTGCAAAATTGAAGGGTTAAGGCGTTCAGCTTCAGGGTAGAGTTGGAGGTTATCTTTGGTATCTGTATTTGGGACCCCGATCCGGCTTCGGGGTTTCTGGATTTTCGAATTTAGCTCTCAAAGTTTGCGGGGTTTTGCGGTTGCAATTTTTTGTTTGTGCCTATAGGGTTGTGGGAGTTTGGAAAACATGGGATTTCGGAGGTTTTAGGGCTGGGCCCTTGGGGACAGAGTTCACGTCGCAGGGTTCGGGGTCGAGCTTTCAAGACCCCTGCAAACCTACAAACACAGCAGCCATATGATTCAAAAAACACTCAGCCTTGCAAATTCTACGGGTCCCACAGTTAAGCCGTGGACCCTAACGGTGCTGAGTCGTCAAAATGGCGCTGTCCTTTGGCGGTCGTTTCATAGGCCTCGACATCGCCTCCGCCAGCGAGAGGCTTTAGGCTCTTCCCGAAGCTTCGGACTTGAACACAACAATCAGCCCCTTGAAGTTGAGGGTGTCCTCAGCATTCTGGGTCCCGAAGGAGATGGGTTTATTCAAGTTTGGGCAGAAGTTGGAAAGTGTACATAGTAGCTCTTCAATCATGGAGGTGTGTCTCGAATTTCTGCCGAAAAAATTCTAAAGCCCTGCTCGAAGCCAACTGGGATCCCATGCAATGATCCTGCACAGCCCCAAGGCCTTGACTCAGGAGGCTGTGGGAGTGCATTTAGAATTTGGAGGCTTGTGGCTTCAACCTTTGGGCTCTGGCGTTTTGGACGTTAGTGTGTGGAGATGCTTGGCAAGTCTACCTTACATATGTCCCGGGGAATGCCTTTGTCTGGCCTCTCACCTTGGTTCCCGCTCCAGTAGAGCATAGGCAGAACAACATCCCCCAGGCCGAACCCAGAAAGCGCAAGCGTGCGTGGGTTGCATGTTCTTCAGGAATGAATAACAATGGCTGAGAAGCAAATCCAAATGCCTGAATTTTGAGAAGCCGAAGATGTCAAAGTCCCAACACCCGTTAAGCCCCTCAAATTCTGGGCTTCGAAGCGCTTTGGATACTTCAACTCTCAGCAATACAACCAGACCAAGCCCAATACCTGAAACCTTATTAAGCTTCTGGCCCGGATTTTGGATCGAAAAGGTGGAAACCTCTGCACTAAAGTCTAAAGCCTAAGCCACAGCTCTAGGATGAATCCGAACAGCCTACACGGTACATGGAAGGCTTCATCTGAATCCAACAGCACTGGCCTCGCCTTGCTCACAAGCCGCTGAACCTGGATGTATGTACGTGGCTTTGGGCTTTCGGCTATTTAAATATTCAGGGCTTTAGGATTATCGCATGGATGGCTTGCTGCATCGAATCGGAGCCGGCATCATCATCATCATCATCATAGCCATCATTATCGTCATCACCATCATAACCATGATCATCGTCATCACCATCATCGTCACAATATAAATATACTTCTTATTTTTCGGTTTATTTTAAATACTATTCCCTTTTACCTGCCTCACATCATCACCATCATTATCATCATCACCCCTTATTCTTCTTAATTTTCATCTTCGTTTTCATTATCATCATCATCGTCATCACCATCACTGCCAACATCACCATCATCCCTATCAGAGGCAACATCACGGCAGGAGAATCCATATTGTCTTCATCATCTGCCTGGCCATCCACATCTATATTAAGACAATGAACGCCATCGCCATCACCAGTGAGACCATCGTCAACATTGTCATTGTCGCCATCTTTTAAACTAAGCCGCAGCTGCTGAGGTCGCAGCTAAGTCATCTTTTTCACCATAGTCTGGCTGCCCCCGCTGCCCTTGGCTTGGGCTCTACAGGGAAAGCTGAGGAGCTGACGCTCAGGATTAGCTTTTCAGGGTTGCAGTGATGTGGAGACCTCCGTACCATCTTGATATCTTTTCGGGACCACGGCAAGGCCTTGCTCTCCGGAAACTGTGTATTCAGTGAGGTCTCAAGGAACCTCTAGTGCTTGCGACTTTCATGTCTCCGTGCACGTTCAAGTTGATTTGACCCAGTGGCAGGATGAAGATACTGGACAGGCAGCAAACAGATCAGCGCACAATCAAGGCATGATAAGAGGCACAAGTAACCCAGACCCTGTGTCCCAGCGCCTACCCATGCTAAGGCGCAAGGTGAAGAGTGCGGATATCTCGCGGCGATAAGCGGTGATGCATGGTGTTCTTACATCGTCCTTCTGGCTTTGCCATTAGATCAACTGTGGACTGTTAATGAATGAGCGGTGTTGCTCGTTGTCACGGGCCCTGATCTGCGAAATGAAGTCATGTTGTGAAAACGCAAGGCGACATCTGCAAGTGTTGGTTGGACAAGCACGAACAATCTTTTGTTGGTACAACCTTATTCAGATGACTAGCGGCTGACTAGCAGTGACTAGCATGGCGTGACAGAACAAAAATGAAGAGCATCTCATTCGCGGGACCTGGCCGTAAGCGGCGGACTATCGATAAGCCAGAAGTAGCATAACATAAGACTCACGCCGCACAAGTAGGGTTACACTGTAAACGAGAATCGGTGGAAAAACATCTGCTTGCACTCCAGACTACCCACACACAGCAATGATGATGAGTGGTGTGGGAAAATGGTGCCTGTAGTACCTCTGAGGAGCACACAATGTAAGCACGAAGCCGATCGTGCTAGGAGAAGGACTAAGTGTTTAAGTCAGATGGCAAATAAGTTCGCCTTAGATCTCGGGTTTCGCAACCAAGGCCTGCAAAGTCCATCAGCCAAACCCTCAGCCTCACTGCTGGCGCTGGGGAACCAGGCGTAGCAAATCTTTGAGCTCTTCTTCCTGCATCCCCTGGCAGGAACTGGAAAGTCCCAGCAGTTGTTTGCACTTGCAGAAAACAACGATAGCACAGGTAGCACGCTGATAATTCTAAAGACTAAAGTGTTTGAAAATAAGGAAGCAAACCGCTCGAAAGGTACTAGAGGATTTGAGAAGCAGGAATCGCAAACCGCTCAAAAAGACTAGAGTGACTAGAGGAGTTGAGAAACGGGAAGCAAAACCCTGGAAAAGGACTAATTAGAGGATTTAAGAACCAGGAAGGAAACAGGTCGAAAGGGACCAGAGAATCTGAGAAACAGGAAGCAAACCGCTCGAAAGGAACTCGATTTGAGAAACAGGAAGCAAACCGCGAGACAGGGACCAGAGGATTTGAGAAACAGGAAGCAAACCGCTCGAAAAAGACTGGAGGATTTGAGAAACGGAAAGCTGACCGCTCGAAGGGGACTAGAGGATTTGAGAAACAGGAAGCAAACCGCTTTAACAATGCTATTTGGTGCTGGGATCTACTGCCAGTAGCATGGGCAATTCTCGCACCAGAAGAGGATAACGGAAACTTGTCATCAAACCTTCGTGGAAAACCGAACTCCCAACTGCCTCGACGCGTGCGCGACTTCCACATGCAACAACCCAACGCACCATCTGGATAAAATCATCAGCACCTTTACCGTCACCATCGTCACTTCTTCCCCTTCTCCTCATCGTCATCTTTCTTTCCAGGCCGGAGTGATGACGATGCCGATTTTCGGCGTTCCCCAGCTTCCAGCTTAAATGTTTGGCCGACTAGCCATGAATTACCGATTCGCGCTTCGGATGCCGAGTTGCTCAAGGCCGCCATTACATATCCGTTCTTGTAAGACGACACGGACGAGAACGGCACATGGTTCCACAATGCACCCCGCTCCAGCTGGGACTAACAAAACCTTCAGGATCCTTTTGCGGCAGGCATCCTCCTCTAGGCTATCTTGAGCTGAAGGGGTACAGCGTCTACTGACAAGGGTCTAACCGAACATTCCCAAAGCCCCACACATTATGAGCGGTAGAGTGAAGATCGGGTGTTCGGGCGTTCATGGTTCAAGTGCAGTAGCGCAAGTTAGTTGAAGCCTGATGTTTAGTTGAAATACAGAAAACGAAGAAAAGCATAAATACGGAAACCATCGTGTTAGCACCATTGCGCAGTCGCTTTTCTGTCGGGATGACGGAGGTTTCAGAGTCTGCCGTTCAGCCTCACATCTACACGAAAGTTGCAAAGCACCTCACCTGAAAAGCCAAAAAGCCTGAAACACGCCAAACCGCACGAATAATTACTGAAACTCAAAACCCAGTCCCCAAGGAACTTTAGGGTTCATTGAAAAATACCTCAAACTGTCGAGGCACCCCGTGCTACTCGGTAGCAACGACATTGCCGAGGGCCCCTCAGAATTTCAAAGAGACCCCGTGAGCCTAGTTCCTAGAGCCGCAAACTTCAAAACTGCAAACCCTCATGCCAAAACTAGAGACCCGAAACCGTAACGAGCCCTAAAAAGCGCTAAAGGCCCGGAAGTCCGAAGCCCCAAGCCACCTGAAGCTTTTGCCGAAGGAAAGAGCGCGAGTCGACTTTGGCCTCATGCGTGAGACTTCCGCGGCTGTTGGGATTAGGGCTCGCAGTTTGGGACTTACGGCGATTTACTGATGTAGGTTTCGGATCTGAGATGCACGGTTGTTGGCTTGGCTGAGGATCGTTGAGAGTCTTTGGGGCTACGGGCTTGCTGCAAAGACGGTATTCCGGGATTGACAACACTGGTTGCTTGCTTAGATCTGCTAACATGGTACGTGAATGCTATCAAGTGGACCCCACGTGCACCACCAAATCTTCAAGGCCCGCACACTCGATAAAGTAGGACGCGTGGCCTGCAATTTCTCATGCTGACTGTGTGCATCACTGCGCAGTTCAGATAGTACAGTGTACAGCTTTGCAGCATGCTCTCGCGTGGACCGGACTTACAGAACCTAGAATTGTCACGCTAGCCATGGTCCCAGCACAGAACACTAACGCTGCACGGAGATTGCCTACAATGGAACATTCAGAACTCTCACTGCTAGGTCGTCAGCCACACTCTGCTTGCCCGCACCAACCATCAACATAAACAGAAGGAGATGTAAATACCAATGCCCTCGTGGTTGTGGATTTGGTTGGGGTGGACATCATTGCGTGTGCAGTGGACCTGGTTATGGGTGCCGACATTGCTCCACTGATACTGTACCTCGACCCTAGCGATGAGTGCTGGATGTTGACTTTAGGACGTCACGCGCTCGCAACACGTCAGGGCTGCCGGCCTATTCACTCGTGTAGTGCTGTTCTGAGTCCAAGCCATCTTGCTTATCAGTGCCCCCATTCTTGCCATGATGACTACTTTTGAGAAGACTCTAGCCGCCCGGTAGAAAGGGATATAACTCATAGGAGCAGTGAAAGACTAGCGCTTCTGTTTAAAGATCTTGCTGGCAACAGCGGCACAACAGCCACAGGATGATGCGAAGATAGCCAAAATAGGTCCAATTGACGGGATGCTTCGTGCTTGTATATTCCGAGGATGCTCCTGCACTCGCCGGTGCGATTTCTTCTGCTGCTTCCGCTTGTGGCTGCTATCAGCGGTTCTCAATATTGCTCTCACCCGTCTTCTAGCACGGACCAGAACCTGACCAACATCAAATCCTAAACATTATGGGAAACAGACGGGCCTGAATCATTTCAATCGAGTCTTGAGTACATCTTTGCGAATAGCTGAGGGCACTCCATGGTACTGCGACTTCATAGGTCCTTCGGAGGCTCAGTGTCGTTGGGTGCGGGCACCGCCAAGGGGAGAGAGGAGCTGTCCTGGTGGGGCGTTAACGTTTGAGGGCCAAATGGAACCGCTCAGCTACCCCAGCGGAGCCTAACTTTCGGCATGCCCCCGTCCGGAGCATGCTGAGCGAGACACGCACACCTCGTTACGCGTAAGAAAATCCCGAACCCCAAACTGTAGAGGTCCTCGATGTGGCAAGAGCAACATCCCATCGAAAGGTTGAAAGACTTCATATCGACGTTGTGCAAACAGCGCATTCGCACAAGGCTGCTCGACACCCGGTGGACTTGGCGAAATGTGCTGTCATCGTCAATCCGCTCAGCGCCGCGGTCTTTGTGTTAGCCAGTCCGCGTGCTCCTTCATGTGAAAATGAGCACCGGCCGAGAGAAGCGCGACATGAGGAGTCTTTCGAGTAAGCATGTGTCCCATAGTCGCAGAAAGCACACTTCCCAGGAACTCTGGAACGGGTCCCCCGAAGACCGTTTTACTCGTTCTTGCTGGAACAAAGGCCCTCAGAGCTTCTTGCTAATTCAGCTCAAGGAACCTCGCCTATAGATCAGCCTCTAAGTTCACGAGCTTTACCAGCTCAGGATTTAGGTGAAGTCAAGGATAAGAAGCCTGACGGGCAAACAATCATAATAATAATAATGCAATAGTAATAATAGTAATAATAGTACTATAATAAGAAACTATAATAAGAATACTACTACTATTGCACCCAACTCGGTAGTTCAGCCGGCCTTCAGGGGGCGCTTCGCTAGACCTCTGCGTAACGCCTCATGATCTTCTGGATCTTTGGTTTGTGAAGATGTTTTTTTTTTAACCCTCGTTTCCTCCTGTCCTGTAAGTGAAGATGCTTTGGGGGTTCAGGGGGCTTAGGCTTCTAATAACAACAAGGGCATTTACGGGATTCGGGGCTTTGGGTTTGAGGGTTCCTAGGCTTCACGGGTTTAGGATCTTTTAGGATTATTTGCTTTTGGGCTTGGGGCACGCGTTCTCATGTTGACGAGCCCCCGTATGCGTCCCAAGACTCTCAAGCCCTCGAGCCTGGTCACCCGAAGCTCGTCGTGACTCTACTTTTTCAGGTTCTCCTTCTTTGGAGATGACTATAGACTATATAGACATCATACCCACAGTTGCTGATGAGATCTTGTCTTGCAGGGATCATTATGGAGATCTTAGGCTGGGAAGAGTGTCCACATGAACGAGTATGTTCTAGGATCAAGGCACAGAGTAGGCTACCTAATGTTCTCAGACTCTCCTACCGGTTCTTGACCCAGGTCGCATCGCAATCGCAACTCAATAAAAACTCGGCCATAACCCACGCTGAACCTCCTCCGGCTCCAGGCCTCTGGGCCCCCAGGCACCGAAGCCCTAACTATCGGCTCTCTACGCCTCGAAAGACCTGGCCGAGGCCCCAAAGAAAAGCCCAAAACCAGGAGGAGAGGCCTGCACGGCGAAGCTTCCGGAACACCTGAGACTGGGCTCTTCTTCAGAAACTAAAGGAGCTCTCTAAGGTCTTGTAGCGTCCTTAGAGGCTTGTACAATCACTACCATGCTTTGAGGGACTGACAATGGGGTCCTCACGTAGGTTTTCATTAGCCTTTTCAAAACAGGGTTGTGGTTCATGAACTCAACGAGGAGGCGTAAAAAGTAGCGCTGCCACGACGGTAGAGACTTCGAGTGATTTTTGAAAGCCGAAATGCAGGTGACTGTGGCGGGAGCACACGCGGCACTGCGATCAGACTGCCGAAGATTTCGCATCTTATGAGATCGACGTCCAAGGTGGACGGTGTCGGCGCAAGGCTGTCGAGAGGGCAATGTGAGTCAACCATGTCCACCACGCCAAAGCCAGAGCCATGCGACCGCCGGGCCTCGCGCCCTCAGCGCCCTGGTCCTTTTTCAGTGAACATAGGAAGCCCTGATATCAAAGTCACAAAAAAAGACCCGGCTCTTGTGCCTTGCGATTCAATCTGGCTCTGTCCCTCCCTTCTTCTCCCCTTAGAAGAAGCGTTCAGCCCCCCTGGCACCTCTCTCTCTCCATCTCTCTCCCTCCCTCTCTCGCTCTCTCTCTCTCTCTCTCTCGCGCGCGATTTCTCTAGTTGGAGTATAGGGTTTAGGATTCAGCATTCAGATCGTAGGTTTACGGCATCAGATACCAACGGATCAAGCTGTTTGTGGGTCTTCCCCTGTTCCGTGGTGGCCTGAGATGAAGGGTACAGGAATCTATTCTCTAGGTCTGCTCCGTGATGTGGGAATGCTTCAAAACCGAGGACCTGGCTGTGCCAGAATTTAGAGGCTCTTTGAGACACACACGATAAGTTCTCTACTTGTCATTCGGGCCATCCCTGAAGAGGCAGCATGTCCTATTCGACATAATGTTTCAAACCCATGTCCCTTCCAACCTTTCAGTACTGGGGAGACGCTCGGACTTGGCTGTTTGGCACAGGCTTCACTACATCAACGAAACCAACACAGATGTCGCAATCGAAAAACATAGCCGCAACTAAATTGTCAAGCACGTTCGCAAATACTTAAATGTAACATACATGCGGCAACCTAAACTAGCTTTCGGAACCTTCGTCAAACGCACGAGTGGTGCTAGATGGTGTGGAAACGCCAAACCCCCAACCCCAAACCCTGCAACCCTATACCTTTCGGACCCTACTTTGCAGGGTTGGAGCCTTCTGATGGACGTCAGGGCCGCGAAGATGGCAATTGCAATTGGGAGGTAAGCCTCGCAAGGAATCGAAGCTTCACTCCCTGCCATCTTGAACCCGGAGTACGCACACACCGTTGACGGAGTAACGTAGATTTTGTTGTGTCATGGTTGCATCTTTTATTACACACATACATATGTATACACACCTTCAAAGCCCAGATAGACCTCACATCATACTGTCATGCCTCCATTGTGTAAGGAAAACCTCAGGTTCAGGGTGCACTGGTCTACTCTCGGCGCAGTTTCGGGGGTTCTGACTTGGGGATCTTTGTGTCCGTGGGGGTGCTCGGGTGCTGCGCCTTCTGGGTAGTTTGCGTTTTCGGTTTTCCTTTCCAGGATTACACTGCTTTTGCGCAGGGCTTTCGGGCCCAGCCCGCGACCCGAAGCCTCCGATTCCGCAACCACTGCAGACTTGCCATCCGAAGCGACCAGCAGGGAGCTTCTGAAGCCCGAAGCCCGAAAGCCCCGAACCGGCAAACTCGGGATCTTGGCAGTGACCTTAGGTCGACACCCAGCGCTTCTTGGGCGGCCATCGACGATGCTTCCTGCAAGCAGTCGTCGGCGAAGTTATACAAAAGGCACATGGCCCGCGGCTTAGGGCCGGCTTAGGGCTCGTTCAAAGTTGAAGGCTTGAAGGCATCAACTTTCAATGGATAGCATCCGGACATGACCGGACCCTAAACAGCAAACCCTGTTTCGTGCTGAAGGTTTAGGCCAAGTTGCAAGCCTGATGCGAAACACAAGTTGGGAAGCACAAGCTCGACACTCCGGAGAGACCTATTTTCTCATGTTTCAAGGCTCTGGCTTGAAGGCTCAGGGTCTGGCTGCTGGGTGCAACTACTCAGCAAAATGTGAGGTCATCCTCTGCCACAGCCAGTGACGGCTCTCGAGCACCGGCACCATTTCAGGTTGTGGCTCGGGTCCATGGGTCCAGGGGACGTGTTGAGGTTTTGACGGTTCAAAAGTGAAGACGTTGCGGTTTCGAGGGTATCAAGGGCTGGTTCAAGCACTGGGGATTGGATGGCATGGAGCCCAATCAAACGAGTACCAGTGGCACCCGTAAATTCATGGAACCCCACCCCATAAGGCCCTAGACATTAGGGTTCATCGGGGCCCACTTGCCCGATGACTTTGGTGCCTCGCCCCCTCCCTAGCCGCCTGCACTCTCGGCTCTCAGCCCCGTCCATCGCTCGGAAAGTAACACTCGCGGCCGGGAGCTCGCGAGTTGCAGCAGCTCTGATTTATTCCTACGACTCAGGGTTCACTGTGTCCGCTTTGGGGTGGGGGGAGGGGTTGGGTTCAGGGTTAAGATTTTAAGATTTCGAGTTATGGGGTTAGGGCTTCAGTACATCGTAGGACCTAAAGCTCTTGGGGCACCATGGACCATGGCTGTTGCTGACTAGTGGCCTAATGGCTGTGAGCAGAATGAAGAATCCTCACAAAATCATCCGCACTCCATACCCTGGACTCTAGAAGACTCCAGAAGGTCTTTCAGGTGACAGGAGAGGGCCAGGGCTCTGCAGAAGCCCAGGAGTCGAAGCTCGAAGATGTTGTATACTAGGCAGCGGCATGGGGTACCGTGCAACGATCTACTCTTTTCGAGATCCGATACCAGAACTTGCCCCCATGTGCAGGCGCAGCACTCGAGATTCCCAGCGACCCCCCAAACGCTGCAAGCATAAACAGACTCAGGCAGGGCCCAGTACAACTACCGACAACAGCATGCTCGGTGCAGGACTCCGCGAGTTTGAGGCGTGGTTGGTCTAGTCTCCGAAGATCCTCAAAACGTAGTAAAGCAACACGGTTGAACAGGCTCGACATTGCTGTGGACGTACTTGCAAGCATTTTCCGGCTGTCGTTGTCTGCAAAATTCAATACACCACCATTTGCTCAGGCGCAGCCAACATCTCTTGCTCGATCTCGCTGTCAACTGACTGCTGCACTCTCGGATCTAACCTGGCGTCAGGGAAACTTATGCATGTCATGTGGTGGACAAGTTTGCTCGAGATCCAATGCCGCAGAGGGTGTTAAAAGAGCTTGGGCATAGGGCTTCCGATACCAATACTTCTCGGAATGATACCACGAATCGGAATCCGAACCAAAGCTTTGACCAAGAAAACACACATACGAAGCGTAGGCGGTCCAGTACTCTTCAATTGAGGACTTTCTGCTAGACTACACCCAGACAAGGATCTTTCTAGAATGTCCGGTGTATTCCGAGTTTCAGACACTCGGGGTCACCTGAGCTGCCCTAGCCGCCCTAGCCTTACTACACCAGCTCTTGTACTATAACATAATATGAGATCACCTAAGATACCAAACTATACCATAAAGTCTACTGTATTTACTCTACTATACTATACTGTTCTATACTGTAAAGCATCGCTGTCCGATAATCTCTGAATCTCCCACATCTCCTCCGAAAGCAACCTTTCCCTTTTCTCTTCCTGGTGCAAACCGCCGCCGGTCAAAGCCTTGCCCGTGGCTGCACGGTGACCTCGTAGTCTTCCCTAAGGCTCGGGGCGTTGTAGAGACCTTAGCAGTTGTAGCTTAGACCACGCAGTTTCCATGGACATTGAAATACTCAGGAACCCTCTCAGACTTGTGTGCGCTACCTTCTGTTTGGCGACCTGTGCCCTGTGGTGACGTGTAGGGATACTGGGCTGTGAGCACACTGCCCGGAATCGCAAACTCTACAAATTGCGACCTTGAGGCAAGTAAAGAAGTCATAGGTCGTGCGGGGCCAGAGGGCAATGATTTCGCCAGTTTCGGCTTGATACCAGCTGCTGCATGTGCTCCAAACCTCAGGGACACCGTGTATGCGGAATAATGTTCTTCACCTGATCCCCTCTAAACCTGCCTTGTCCTTGAACTGCTCTTGCACCCAGCGGTTGTAGGTCTTCAGCACCCCCGGCTTCACAGCAAACGAGCCGATATCCTGGTCCAGAGCCTCCTTCAAAATCCTCAAGGCGTAATCTGCCTGGGCCTCGGCCATGAGGAGGACGGAATTGTGGCCCAGACCCGAGTTGGGTCCCAGGATTAGGAACATGTTCGGGAGCTCCTGCATGCTGGTGCCCAAATAGGCATGGTGTCCCTGTCGCCACGCAGAATCACCGGACCAAGTAAACCCGGATGTGCCCAAGATCTGCACGTCCTTGCCAATGGATCCGATCTGGAAGCCCGTTCCGAAAAGCAATACGTCTGCCTCATGCTTCGTGCCGCAGGTGTCGACAATCCCGTCCTCTTGGACCTCGGCAAGCCCGGCCACAGCCACATCCACGTTGGGTCGGCAAAGGCTTTCAAGATACACGTCCGACCTGCAGATGCGCTTGCATCCAAGTGGGTACTTTGGGATGACCTTGTTCCTGAGCTGCTTGTCCTGAAGCTGGAAAGCCATATACCCGCGACACTGACTTCGGAGCATCTGGCTGCGTGGGTGATCACGTGCATCGAAGAGACCGTTTACGCTCAGAGCGAGCTCTTGCTTCCAGTAAAGGCTGGTGCGGTAGGCCGCGCGGGCCAGCGGGACGTTTCGGTAGGCCCACTTCAAGTACTCCGGGTAGTGACGAGCAGGCAAGAGGGTCTCTTGCCTTCCGATGACCCAGTTGGGTGTGCGTTGTAGCAGGACCAAACGTTGTGCTTGCTCTGCTACCACCGGAACGAACTGGACCGCGCTAGCTCCACTGCCCACCACGACCACTTTCTTGCCAGTGAAGTCAGTACCGTGATCCCACTCAGCAGAATGGAACATCTTGCCCCTGAACCGTTCCATTCCAGGTACATCAGGAACCTGCGGGTAGTGCAATGTTCCGACACAGCTGAAAAGAAACCGGGGCTCCAGCGCTTCATCCGACTCTAGCATGACACGCCAGCGCTGCTGCTGAGGCATCCACTCAGCTCGTTTCAGTCGTGTGCAGAGACGGGTGTGTGGAGCCAAGTCATACTTCTCGAACACGCGCTTGATGTAGGCATGTATTTCTTCGGATCCAGCATACGCCTCGGACCAGTCTGGATTTGGCTCGAAGGAGTAGCTGTACAGGTGTGCTGGCACGTCACAGGCACACCCTGGGTAGCGGTTCAGCAGCCATGTGCCCCCAACGTCCTTCTCCTTGTCGATGATGGTGAAAGGGATGCCAGCCTCCTTTAGCTTGATGCCTACGAGCAAACCCGAAAAGCCGGCACCTAGAATGAGGACATCTCCCTCTGCCAGCTTGGAGCCATAGCCTGAGATGGAATGGCCAGTGCGGCTGCGGAGGAAGTTCAGCGTTGCCCGGAGGCGGGCCGAAAACGACAGCGAGGGACCGTCTGCAGCCATGGATTTACTTACCATCGATCGCACCTCTTCATCCGAGGTCCAGTGTGAGTCTGCGCGTAAACTAAACCCTAGACAGCCACTATCATGAAAGATCATGCACTCCTCCTTCCTGAAGCCGGGAAGCGAGACTCTGACACGCGTTGCCCTTCTTGGAGGGCCCTCGCGATGTTGCGACGACCAAAGAGATCTTGAGCCTTATCGCCCACGCAATGCTAATGAAGACATGGGTGAGATTTTGTCTTTGGGTCTTTGGCGGCACTAGGCACCAGGCTGTCTCGAGTTTCCTGATGCAAAGTCTTCCGGGCCCCCAAGATCAACGTAGCCCCGATCATGGGACTGTTGAAAGGACATAAAACGACATGTAGCCTCTACTTCCTCAACATCATCCGGCAGAGGAAGGTGGCATTTGGGGGGGTGCTCAAGATTGGCCCTTTGGGGGAGACAAAAACGTCCAGGCCCCGGAAAACCTGTAAGCCCAACCCCCAACGCACAAAATCGAACAACCGAAAAGGCTCACACACCCGAAGAGTCTCCCAGCCTCTGGAGAGCGCCACCACACCCGGCGGCCATGCTCCGGCGCGTTTGTGTCTTTTCGAAGGGCTTTAAAGCTCGAAAACAAACCTTTTGGGGTCTGGGGCTGCTAGCGGATTTGGCGGCCGGTAAGGTCAGGAGGCTTTAGTGGCTTACGACTTCCTGTTGGAATTCTTCTGTTCTCCATGGTGGGCACACCTACGCCTACACCATCTTACGCCTTCGCTTGATCCAGGATTTCTGTGACTGTGAGAATCCCAGCTTCAGGGTCTTCAGGGTCTTCAAGGTCTAAGGACCTACGAACCGGGCTTGTCCGAGCTAAGAGCAGCACTTTTTGGGGTACGACACCTGCATGGATCTCAGGTGCAGGGCTCCTGCACATGGCATGGCCTTTTGCTTGCGCGAGATATCAAGGGCCGGTCTATGATCTGCTGGCTTTCAGGCGGCCACTGCCTTGCGCCAGCAAGATGGTTTAGAAGGCCTTCTGCCAAAGGCCGGGACGGAAGTCGCGCACGAATACATCTGGCTGGAGCAGCTTGAGAGCGCACTTCCGAGATTGGCTGCTCTGGACACGGCGGTGCCTTTCAGACACCCCCAGGCCAGGAGCCCCCAAACTTTAAGGACTATACCCCGGACCATGACCAGAACCAATGAAGACAGCGTAGTGGTGGTACCAAGCAACAGCTCTACGTCAACCCCACCGAACTGACCTCAGGTCTACTCGATCTGGCTGCAGCCAAGCACTCCCTGTACCCTGAGCCCTAGGACTTATTGGTCAACGCCAAACGCCACTGAACCCTACGCTGCCCACACAAACACATCCTCCTTGTACCGAAACCCAGAAACGTGGACCACTCCCGGAGTCGTCAGTGGCAACTGCACGCTTGTGACGAAGCGTCATTTCTCAAGGTTCTTAGAGGCTCTGTGCGGGTTCAGTTCATGATGATAGCAGCCACGGTCACGGAAATAGAACAGTAAGGCTGCTACAACTTTACACCTCTTGCTCGTTCTGTGTACGTTTGCGCTGAGAGCTTCGCGCTCAGGGTGGTAGGAATATTGACGATGCAATTCCACCGCTCCAGCCGGCAGTCTGAGCACCAGAAAGCGTGATTCAACCCTAGAAGGTGATGACCATAAGCACAAGGACGAAGGTGACTAAGAGCATCGTGGCCGGTACTCGTAGTGATCGTAGTGTTCTGCACAAGCGAACAGCCCTACAAATCTGCATCAGCCACCACCACCACTACTGCTACCGCTAGCGCTACTATTACGACGACTTTCACAGTGCTTGGGACTTGCTTCGTCATCAACCATGCAACGCTGCTATATGAGAAGGAAGCT